CTCAAACAAATAGGCACTGTATATATGGAGAAAAAAATCTCTAGAAAATGTTGCTGAATCATAATAGATGAACTATCCATAGTGCATAAGGACTTTGGGAAAAAAGTTCCCCTAAGAAAATTTGTGAAGCACCATGTATTACTATGATTAACATATTCATTCACTCGACAAATGAATATTGAGTACTTGCCATGTGTCAGACGCTATTTGTGGCCCTGATAATTCATCAGTGTACTACTGAGATAGACAAGATTACTGACTCTCCTGCTTCTTCCCATTTAGGAGGAGGAGATGTGTGACAGTGAACAAGGAAACAAATAAATGAGATCATTACGGATTGTAGTGAGTGCCTTTAAGGAAATAGATGGAAAATGAGATAGAAAATTAGAGGAGGCACTTAAGATAAAGAAATCAGGGAAGGTCTTTCGGAGAAATTAACATTTCACTTGAGCTTTACACAGTTGTGTAAAGAACTGGTATGGAAGAGTATTTCAGAAAGAAGAACCAGCACACACAGTGGTCTGGAGGTGGGAAAGAGGCTGGCATGACTGGGACATAGAAGAAAGTGGAGCTTATTATTCCACAAGGGGAGTGTGGTAGGTAGCACTGGCTATTTGAAGTACCCAGAGCAAAATAAACATGTGGGGGTCCCTTGCTAAAAATTTATTGTGACTTTCAAGATAGCAGCAGCAGAGCATTAAAGGCCAAGCTCAGGGAGCTTCCATAATACATCAACAAGGCTGGCCCTGGAGTGGAAAAGAGGGGAGAATGACGGGGCAACAGAAAGAAACTGGAGTGAATTTCACAAAGAGTGAATTTCTCCCTTCACAAAAGGAAGAATGGTAGGAGATCGGATTAAAGAGAAAGGCAAATAAATATTAGGTGGTGCAGAACCCTGCTGGTCACTGTAAAGCATTTGATTTGGGGAGAAATGTAGTATTGAAATTTGCATGATTAGAGTTAGAAATTTAGGAAACTGATTATAAAGAACTAATGTCAAAATGGGAAAAACCGTAAAGTCAGATAGATAAACATGACTACATATTTAAAGATGTATAAAGTAAATAAAAGTATGTAAAATTACTATTTCTCTTGTTCTTAAATATGATAATCCATAATGGTTTTGCAAAATACCCACACAATTTGAAATCTACATTTCTTCAACATCAGTCATTAGCCAGTGTGGGCAAGTTTGAGAATCACTGATACACTAATGAATTTCACTCTCCAGCTGTCATTTTAAAATATAATCTGTAAATTACCCAACGTTCTTCTTGTTCCCTAGTCTTTGCAAAGTCACCATTATCATGCCTAAGATTATAGCTTACCCT